TTTTAGGCAGTGAAAGAACTTTTCGATCTTAGAAGACAACACTTAAAGAACTTAATTTATTCCAGGCCTCTGTGTCCAGGCAACAGTACCAATCAAATGGGAAGGCCTTCGGCTCTAAAGATGCCATTACTTCCTGGCAATCTATTATCCCCTTTCATCACTCTCAAGAGCAGGAAGTTCTTTCTCATTTCTAATTTTATCTCTTGCCTGTCTTTGGGCTGGGTGGGGAAGCTGAGAGAAGAGACAGTTGGCAGTCTTAGAACAACCCACAGGTGCTTGAAAAGTTAAGCCTCCTCTCTGTGAGCTGCACCAGGCCTTTTACATCCTTTTTGGCTTTTCTTTCACAGCTACTTAATTATATGTTACCCTTCTCTGACCCTCTTCAATCTCTTCCTATTCTTTGTAAACTGTGGACTTTGAATAACAATACTGGCAAATTAAGCGGGACAAAGGTTTCCTGAGTTGTGGTAATTTCACAGCTAACTGGATTCGTGACCCTGTTCCTGTCAGGGGTGGTACAAATTAAACCTGTGGAATTACTGAGATGTTGGAACAGGCAACATAATCCTCTCTGGTAGATGGAGTTGAGCAAAAGTAGTTCAAACTTAAGATCTGATGTTTCCATCAGTGGAAATGCTCGCTGGGCCAGTGGACTCAGCAGGAGTGCTGTGCCACGGCTGCTTTATCAGAGGACAGAAAAGTCTGCCCCTCTGGGGACATAGAGAGAAAGTGGGTGTTTGCAAATAGAAATCCATTTTCCCACTCTGGATGAATCAGTGTATGAGTTCGGGCTGCCCTAACAAAATACCATAGACATGGTGACTTCAGTTGCAGAAATTCATTTTCTCATGATTCTGGAGTTGTAAGGGCTGAGATCTTGGTAGGGTAGGGTTTGGGCAAGAACCCTCTTCCTGGCATGTCAACATCTCTCTGTCTCCACACATGGAGTTTCCATGGTATTGAGAGAGAGAGAGTTCTTTCTCTTCCTTTAAGGTCACTATTCCATCATGAGTGCCCAGCCCTTGTGACCTGGTCCAACCCTAAATATCCTCTAAAGGTACTGTCTCCAAATACCATCTTATGGGGGGTATGGCCTCAACAACAAAGGAATTTGGGGTAGACTCGAGCATTTAGTCCTTAACAGTTTTCTATTGCTTTGTAGCAAATTACACAGACTTTACAGCTTAATGCAACCAACACCCTTTATCTTACAAGGTTTCTTGGGTCAGGATCAGGATGTGGTGTAGCAGGGTCAAAACCTGGGCGTCTCACCAGGCCACAATGTTGATTGTTGCTGGGGCAGCAGCAGCTCTAGATGGTCATTGGGGAAAGATCACAGGAAGCCAGTCCTGTTCCGGCCCAAGGGGGCAGCGTCATGTGTGACCTGGGTCCTCACAGAACCCACATGCCCCACTGAATCGAATGATTCTATTATTTTCCCATATAAAGAGGAATTTGATTCATTCCCAATGAGCATTATTAACGACATGTAGAAATATAAATTGTCTTCATAAGCAAATCATCCATGTTGGTTGGAAGTAAAATTATTTGAGGGGATTCATGGAATGACAGCTTTATTATGAAGGTAGGAAAAGTCAAGAATTCTTACTGGAGGCTATGATCGGGGATATTAACTTCCTCTGTGTTAAGAAATACCTACTCTTTGGAGGTTTGTGGTTTCCAGTAAAATCCCTGTTACAAGCCACTTGGCCATTGTACAGTTTTGATAGTTCTATAAATTTCCTCTTAAAGGGATTAAGAAGTTCTGTCTGAGCTTATTAAAGAAGACTTGAGAGGTCTGGTGGTAGTTTAGGGTTAGTGGGGCCCCATGTGCTCTTGGATTCATGGGTCTTTCATGAATGAGGAGGTGCTGGGTCACGTTTTGAAGAACAAGTATGATTTTAAATGATAGAAATGCAAAGTAGAGGTCAGCATACAAATGGATGTTTTCTGGAAGATGTTCCTCCCCATCTTCTATCCAGGCTTTTTTTGAGCAAGACATATATATATTTTTTAAGATTTATTTATTTATGCATACAAGAACTGGGGTACGGGTCAGAGGTATGTGTGGGGAGAGACAGAGTGGGGAGCAAAACAGGCAGACTGACTGAAATACACTGCTGAGGGGAGCAGCGGGCGAGTCAGGAGAGGTCTGCTGCGCCATGTGTGTTGCTTCCTGGCCGGGGATGGAACTCATGCTGCAGTGGCTGCGGACAGCTTCATAGGTTGCGTCTTAACCCCTTGTGCCACCCAGGGAGGCCCGAGCAAGACATATTGTTGTGTAGCGAAAACACAAGCTACTCTCTGGAAGTTGCATCCCATGGAGATGGCAGGATCAGAGCCAGGTGCCCAGAATTTAGCCAATCCAAGGGATGAGAAAGGGGCCAGGAGGGCTGAGGTCACAGGAAGGGCATACTTCAACACTGAGGACCTGAGAGATGTTGAGGAGAACCAATCCAGCTGACTGATTGGCCCACTGCCCTTTCTGTTGTAGCATTGTAGAAACTGCATTCACCAAAAGAAGATTTTGGGACTGAGAAACAAGTTCAGGGCTTGAAATGATGTGATAGTGACAGTCCTACCACATGTCCTTATGAGGAATGACAATTTAATCTGATTCTAAAATGACTTGGGGAGAAGAATCTGGTGCCATAGGGTGTGTTTTGACAGATGAAGCACGGGTGTGGAATGGAATAGGAGGCGTAGGAGAGCAATGATCAGGGATTTCCCTGAGGGTTGGAGCTGGAACACAGCAGGGAGGCTGGATGGCAGGGAGAAGAGGGCATTTGGAAACTGGATGGTGCCACCTGTCAGCACTGACTGCGCTGGGAGGAAGGGTGTGCACCCAAGAGGGAGCACATCTGGGACATGCCTGAACATGAGCCCAGTCGAGCTCTCCAGTTCGTGTTTTTGTTTTTTTGTGAATAATTTTCAAGTCTTTCATCTCAGCTGCTGCTTCAGATGCTTTTGGAAATTGGCCTGAGACCAGCATGGGGCAGGGTGTGGTCCTGCGCCCTGTGGGAGAGTTTGAGGGTGAACCGGGGTCTGTTGTCAAGGGGACCTTAGGGGTCTGTTCATAGTGTGCGCTCCTTGTGGGTCTGGGTTCATTTCTTTTGGAATCCCAAGGGGAGATGCAGCCAACTGCCCCCAGCCTGGTCTCCAATGGTCTGTGGAAAGTGGGGTGATTTATCTTCATAGAACTTTAGTTATAATGGAGCCTCCTGAACTATGCCCTGTTGAGGGGGAGCCACACCGTGTCTGGTTGAATATGGGGGTTTAAGGAGGGAACTGTTTCCAGGATTTGGGCTTGAGAGACCAAAAAGAGGGGTGTCACTGTGGGGGGCAAGGATGGCTCGAGGGAGATTGATGGGAGCGGAGAGACTCCAGGTACATGTTTGGACCTGCTGAGATGGAGTGACCCCAGGGGCAGTCTTGGAGGGTAGGTGGTGAGCGGTCTGGGAAGGGCCCTGGGCTGGAAGGGGGTCTGTGGGAGGTGTCAGCAGATGGTCAGTGGACTCTGAATGACAGCAGCTTCTCCAGCAGAGATGTGGATAGAAGGGACCGAGGACCGGGGAGGGGTCTCTGGAAGCTGGCAATGGAGGGGAAAGCAAGGACAGCCAGAGAAGGGAGGACATCAGGTGTCTGCCCTTGTTCTTACATTTGGTGACCCCTTGGTGACCTTGGTGTAGGGTAAGAAAAAATGTCAGGCTTTTCTGCCCTCCCGCCATCAGGATAGATGATGGATCCTTGTCCTGAATGCATGCCTCATGGCGGGCACCTGGAGTAGGGTGTGGGCATAGGTAGATGGGATTCACCTGGGCTAAGACTGGGCTTTTAAGGGCGGCGTCATGGGGACACCAGTATGAAGCCGATGAAGAAGCTGAGAAGCAGCAGAAGCTGAAAGAGAAGCCGAAGAGAAGCCAAGAGAGAAGCAAAGAAGCAGAAGCAGAGAACTCCAGTGAGCCCAGATAGAATGAAACTCGCTGGGGGCTGGGAGGCCTGCCAGCCTCCCGGCCCCCCAGCACCCCTGCCTGCCGTGTACCTGGTAATCCCAATAAAAACCTGCAAAACCACTGAGGACTCTGACTCTTCCTTTCCCCAGTCTGCATGGGATCAGAAAACCTGCACTGTGTCCAGTCCTGCCCTTACACTTGGGAAGAAGAGTGACTGTGGGTGGTGGGGACTGAAGCCAGATGGCAGTGGGTGGGTGAGTCTCCATGGTCCCTTGGGCCTGCCTGGACACAGGAGCCTGGGAGTTTGGGGCCCAGAGGTCAGATTTGTCTCAGCCCTGTAGAAAGGTAGGTCAGGAGCTGACGGTGGTTCTCCTGAGAGACAGAAGACAAGACGCAAGGGTATTCTTGACAAGGGCATGGTGGAGGGGAGGAGATGGGCAGTGAGGGAGACTATAAGGAGTGATTCTGTAGGGGCCGGACTTGGGGGTCTTGGGCTGTAGGTGGTGGGGGAGACAGGTTGTGAAAATCAGGGAACAGCACCTTGGGGAGGTGGGGAGCTGTGCTAAGAGAGGACTGGAAGGCCCCTCAGGGACAGGAGGACCCAAGTGTGTAGCAGGGTGGAGGGACCAGCTGGTCTGCTGTGCCTGAGCCCACACAGAGAAGACCGGGTAACATGCAAGTGGGGATGGCGCTGCCTCTCCCCCAAACAGTGTCCTCAGACGCTCTGTGGATGTAACTGGCACCCCCAGTAACTTGCAGGACCAGAGTGCAATGAGCACCTCGTGGGGACTCTTCCAGAAGGCACGTTGACCCTGGCCCAGCCTATCCCTGCAGAGCACAAGCCCCTGGGATACCTGGGGCCTCTCCTGGTGACTGCATCCGTGAGTCTGGAGGAGCAGCCCCGACCTCATTGTCCCCCCCTGGGTGTCTGGGCTGTGCTCGGGCATTCCAGGAAGTGGGCTTCTTGGGTCGAGGGGGCCAGTCCTGTTTTGACTGCTGGGTGCAGGTTTCCCAAGCGTCTTACCTTCCTGCTGTCTGTCCTTCCAGGTGCTGCTGTCAGGCCTCATTGGCGTGGTCTCCTGGAAAAGGCCTCTCTCCCTCGTGGTAAGTGGCACCGGCTGGGTGTGGCCTGGGGCGGAGGGCTGACTGCAGCGGTGTGAGCGCCCTCAGAGAGAACCGGCTCCCCTGCAGCAAGTGGGATGCACACCTTTATGAAAACGTCACCTCTCCAGGCTGATGGGCTGCGGTCACCCCAGTTCCAGTTCTGAGTGTCCCCTCAGTTTGCTTCAGATGCCCTTGCATCTCCCTCTGTTTCTTGGCTCTGTCTGGTGCCCGCCCGGGAGGAAAGGCCGGGCGTTTTCTCCAGACCTGACAACACCTGTGCTCGTGGGCACCTCTGGGTACCTGTGATCACACAGGGCGAGTTTTAGCAGGTGGAAGCCGGTTCGCTTGGTGTGTTTTGGAGTCTGTGAGGCTCTGTGAGGGGAGCAGGAGGGGGTGTGTGTGCGTAGACGAATGAATGACCCTTTCTCTGTGTGGGCAGCGCTGAGCACGCCGGAGATGGAAGGAGGAGGGTGGTGTTTCCCGTCTGTAAAGGTCCGCGAGCAGGTTTGTGTGTATCGATCTGTAGCATGTTCTCCTCTGTGTGCGCATTAAAATATTAATATGGCCACGTCAGAACAAGAGGAAGAGGGTTTCTGGGTTTTGATGGATAATGAAGGAGATGGTGTGGCTTCTTTTTGTTTTGTAGTAATCAATTATTTAAAATCTCTTCTTAAGTGATTAGACTTGGAGATAATGACATGCACTAAATATTAATGGAAATAGAAAAAAAACCCATAAATCTGTCTGTCGTAAACACCTCCTCTTTCATGAGGGTAACCATGGCATTTGGAAAAGCTATCAGGAGCCTGTTTTACAATATGTCAAGAAAGGTTTCTTTTAAATATGTTTTATGTAGAATTTTTCAAACATGCTCCAAAGTAGTTCAGTGCACCCCAGGAACCCCCATCCATTTTCAACAAATATCAACATTGGCTTGTCTTGTTGCTTCCAAGCCCCTTGCTGGGTTATTTGAAAGTAAATCCCAGCTTGCCTTTCAAGAAACTGACTTCTTGTGCAGAGGGAAACAGCAGAGACACCCTGGCCCTGGGGCCTGATGTCCTTTGCCTGGGCCATCAGGGGACAGGATGCACCTACCTCATCGCTGGCCCCGCAGTGCAGACACAGCAAGCCCTGGAAGCTGGCCTTGGGTGGGTGAGATAAGAGAGGAAGGCCCCATCCCCCAGGCACGCCCAGCCCTGGCCCTGGGAATGGAGATTCTCACGGGGCTGGGCATTTTACCTGGAAGGGTGCTTGTGGCTTATAGTGGAAAAGGAGTCCCAACTCCTGTGGACCAGGTGGCTCAAGCATATCTCTGGGATGTCAGAGCAGGAGGGTGGGGTCTCAGGACCTCCCTCTGGGGGGCACAGCATCAGCTGCAGCTGCTGCCATGGAGCTTTCTGTGCCCACCAGCCTGCTGATGGGAGCTGGACCAGCTTCTCTCCTGGCAGTGGGCAGCAGCTCCTCCCATCATTTGTCTCCTCCAAGCCAAGCAAGCAGAGGAGAAGGTGTTCATCTAGCTTAACTGGCCACTCTCCTTCCTCAGGGAGGACAGGGCTTAGTTAGGGCAGCACTAACTGCCCAGCAAACCCCAGATTTTTGGTGGCTTAATACAATGCAAGTTTGCATCTTGCCCTGTCCAGGGCATTTCAGGCAGCGGCCTGCTCCCCTCCATGGGTGACTCAGAACCCTGGTGACTTCCACCTGGGACCTACAGTTCCCTAGGCCTGTGGACCCCCTGCATTTCAGCAGAAGGGGGAGGATAGGGGAAGAGGAACACCTGCTTCTTAATGTCCCTAGCCTGAAAGTGACTCTTGTCACATGCACTTCAGACCAAGGGAGAGCTTGTCATGGGGCCTGTCTAGTTAGGGACGAGGTGGGAACAGATGGTCTTCGCCTGGTTAGGCACTTGGGCGGGGGGTGGGGGGGCAGGGAGGAGCAGAAATTCTGGCAGGTGGGTGGTTGTCTTGACCAGAAGAACCTTCTTCTGTGTTGAACACAATAATTTTCAGTAGCAAAAACACTCTCTGAGCTGTGATCATTGACTTGGCCTTGGCTTCAGCTTTATTTTCATTCACAATCACAGTAACAATGGTTGGGAGGAAACCACACTGTGTAGAGGTACTGGGGTTCTCCAGACAAATATAACTAATAATATAATGTACCCACACATGTACTCACACACAGTCCCATCAATATCTGCATCTGTATCTACACCTATTTCACTATAAGGGGAACACACTGCCTTCCTCCCGGTGATGGCCTGTGTATGAAGTTATCCGTGAGACAGAGCGACAGAGAAGGAGCTGTGTCTGTGTGTTGTGGATATATATCGGGTCAGCTGTGTTTTTATTTATAGATCGCCCAGTCATGGAGACTGGCAAGTCCACATCTGCAGGGTGGGCCAGCAGGCTGGAGACTTGGGGACAGTTGATGTTGCAGTGGTGCGTGGGCCACCCTGATGGCAGGGTCTTGGCGTGGCCCTGGGTCGGTTGGCACTACATTTCCTCCAAAGGGCGGTGAGCTTGGGCCTGTCAAAGCATCTGCTGTATCTGCTTCTCATCAGGCTGAGCCTTGAAGACAGGGTGAGATGAGGGAGGATGTAACCGGCCCGCCCAGACTGACCGATGTGCTGCAGAAGAAGCTCCCTTAGGAGAGAGGGAGGTGGGAGTGTGGAGGCTGTCTGGTGAGGATGCGGAAGGAGGCTACCCCCTTGCAGGCCAGTGAATGTGTTTCATGAATGAGAAAAAGATGGCACGTACTGTGAATTTTTGCTACGGTATTTTATTTTATTTTTAAAGATTTATTTATTTATTTATACAAGCACTGGGTACAGTCAGAATTGCAGGAGGGTGAGAGAATTCACCAGAGCCAGAGCAGGGAGCAGAGCAGGCAGACTGATGAAGTACATTGCTGAGGGGAGCAGCGGGTGGCAGGAGAGGTCTGCGTGCCATGTGGGAGCCTCGCCGGCGGCCGGGGTTTGAACCGGCACTGCAGAGGCTGCGGGCAGCTTCGCAGCCCAGCACTCAACAGCTGCGCCACCGGGGAGGCCCTGCTATGGTATTTTATATGAGCCTTTCGAAATGCGGAAAACTGATGATCGCTATGTCAACAAAGAGTATGTATTTTCACATTACTGTGTTTTTTTTTTTTTTTAAATATGTGCTAAGTGTCTCCTATGATTGAGATAATTGTCTTCCTTACATTAAACTAGAAAAGGTTCTACATTATGCTGGATGCCAATTAGGAATGAGATGATAGAACTCTGATTAGGTACTTTTTTGAAAGATTCAGTGAAGCATCTTGTGATTGCTTATGTATCAATAATGAAATACTCTTGCACATAATCATCAGTAGTATAATAATAATGTGAAAACTTGAGTGGAGTGGTACTGAACTGGTCACTAGATTATTTTTAATAACTAATACTATTGAGAGGCTAATATGCATGGAATTGAAAACATTTTTTAGAGTTTTTTTTTTTTGACAGTTTTGTTTTTTAGAGCAAAATAAGTCTGTATTTAAGAGCACTAATCTGTCGGCATGAGTACCATAGAGAGCCAGTGCTGTTTGCATATTATGTTAGATAAAGTACATGCAGAATCTGGCTTTTTGGTTAACTCAAACAGTGGTTTAGTTTTTCATTTTATTTTGACAATGAATGACATCATTTATTGAGCATTTCACTTTCAGGAATTAATCTAATTTGAAAATTGTAATTAGTTTGCTGGCATTGCCACCCAAGGCACCATAGACTGGGTGGTGTAAATAACAGACATTTATTTTCTTGAAGTTACTTACGGAGGTTGGAAATCTGAGATCCTAGTGTCATGGCGGTTGGTTTCTTCTAAACCTCTCTCCATGACTTGGTGATGGCCTCTGGGTGTTTCTGTATTCTCTTCTATTTTTTTAAATTTTGGTTAAATTTTTAAAGTAACATTGGTTTATAACATGATGACGGTTTCAGATGTACAGCCTTGTAGATTAGCATCTGTGTACACAACAGTACATACATCACCACAAGCCTAGTGTCCATGTATCACTGTACGATGGACCCCCTTTTTCCTGCTTACCTGTTTCCCTGACCTCTGGTAGCTATTATTTTGTTCTTTTTTTTTTTTTTAAAGATTTTTATTTATTTTTTGCATAGAATAATTGGGATATAGGCCAGAGGCACGGAGGGTAAGAGGATTCACCAGAGACAGAGTGGGGAGCAGAGCAGGCGGATTGACTGAAATACACTGCTAAGGGCAGCAGCAGATGAGACAGGAGAGGTCTGCTGTGCCAGATGTGTTAGGGGATTGAATTCAGGCCATGGTGGTGATAGTGCTGAGACTTAACCCCTAAGCCACAAGCGAGGCGAGGCCCTCTATCATTTTGTTCTTAAAGTCTGAGGGTTTTTTTTGTTTGCTCACTTGTTTTGCTTCTTTATCACCTGAGTGATATCATGCGGTATTTGTCTTTCTTCATGAGATATATTTCACTAGGCATAATGCCCTCTGGGTCATATTGTTGCAGATGGCAGGGCTTCATCTTTTTTTAAATAACTGAGTAGTAGTCCTTTGTGTTTATATATCACGCCTATAACTACTCAGCATAGATGGGTACTGTGGTTGTTTCTGACTCTTGGCTATTGTGAGTGATGCTGTGATGAACATGGGGGTGCATATATCTCTTTGAATTAGTGTTTTCATCTTCTTCAGATTAATGCCCAGGAGTGGGATTATTGGATCACGTGGTATTTCTAGTCTTAATTTTTTGAGTGAACTGCATCTGTTTCCTGTAATGACTGCAGATAGTGGTTTGCTTTTATTACTACATTTTATCAACCCAAATAGGAATGTGTATCTGTCAAGGTTCAATCAGAGAAACAGCCTCTGGAAACCAGCATTAAAGATCTCAGTGACTCAGGCCCTTCATAAAGTGACCACACTGCCTAGTCTTTGGTTGTTAAGTGCTGCCACTTGGCCCCTGTCACCCTGGAATCCCATAATCCTCACTTC